GCTCGCTTTCCAACTAACAAGCCGAGCTCGATAAGGGCCTAAACTCGATTCGACTCGTTTACACCCCTAGTTTCATCCAGGAAGTTGGTGAGATTAATGTTATTGTCTAAAACATGAGAGTGAATAGTAAAAAGTTGTAGAGATGGAGAGTGTGATATTGAAGCACAGAATTGATGAAAGTAAATAAGGTCAAATATTAATTGAGGTTCTCCGGAGAGAGTGATAGGTTTTGCAAGGAAGTTTTCTCTACTTAGTTCTTGTTTTAAACTGGAAATAAAATAGCTAATTAGAGTTAATTCAGATAGACGAGGAACCTTGAAAGCAGGATTTTCAAAAGTGGTATGATATTCCAGAATAGTAGATTGTCGTGTTAATTCAGAAAGATTTTCGTGTAAATCTTCATAATAAAGACCAAAACGTTGGTGTAAGGATAGCATGAATTTGGGCCAAGGACTTTGGTCTTTTGTACGTAACCATTGATATCATGTTGTCGCTGATCCTTCAATATGAAAAGATGCAGTATGAACGCGATGAAAATCTGATGTGTTGTGAAAATCGAAATACTTTAAAGATCCATTAAAGCGAGGGAGTTCAATTTTCATATGTTTAAGGAAAGAAAAACATGATAGGGGTGTAGCTTGTTGTTGGGAGGGCGAGGCGGACAGTTGATTCTAGGATTCTAATAGACGATGATGGTTCTTGATGTAGTGTAGGAGGCTGATCAGCGCATAAGCTCTAGGCACTTGTGAACGGAGTCCATGAAGACCTTGGAATTGTTGCAAGTTGGTGTTGATGAAAGAGATTTGAACATCAGCTTGGTGTAGTGATTTCTAAATTTCAGAGAATTGAGATTCTTGATGATTTTGCATGGAACGTAGAGCCTTTGCCAAATCTATATTCTTCATTTCGATTAGAGATTGGCGGCTGTTTGAGTTTAAGCAAGAAAAATGTCTTGAGAGATAAAAGCAGTATGTCAATTTCTTGAAAAAATGGAGAAAAATGTAGGGTGGGTGGGTAAGAAAAACTTTAGGGAGCTGGTTGAGGAAAAAGAGAAAACAAAATATGTCCAATAACAAGTTTTCCAACAGCAATTGTAAGGCAGGTTGTGTGAGAAAAGGAGGAATGCTTGTCTGGAGATTCTAATGTATAAAACAGCAGGTTCTTGACGGGCAGGAAGACTTCCACCGGATCCTTCTTGAAGATATGGTGCAGCTAGAGCATATCTGCTACTGGAATTAAGGTGATTTTTGCGACTGAAAAAGGTAGGAGAAAAACAATTGCTGCTGTGGAAGGAGTGGCGAAAAAACAACTGTAGAAGAATTCTCGGAAAGTTGAGATTATGGTAACGCCGTAACGGGAGTACTATTTGATATGCTTCTTGATTACACAAGAAGAATGAGGCATCTTTTGAGTAGGTGTGGACTTTAAGAAGAAGAAGAGAAGATTGGAGACGATAGAAAAGAGAAAAACAGATTTTTATCCCTTGTCTTGTTTCTTACAACAATTGTGTATTTATAGAGTTCAGGCTTATTAAAATCTAAACCGAATTCTTGGCTAGGCTGAACCAGTTTTGGGTCCAAGGCTGAAATGTCTTATTTAAAAAGAAAAAAATGATACAAGAAAGGATTAAATACATTAATAAAAGACAAATGCTACTGTTTATTCCTTTGGACATGACTTGCTGGCTGCGGTTTGAGCTGAGCGGGAGCCTATTGAGGATTGTAGATTGCTGATGCTGCTTGGATTGTCTGCCGGTTGTTGGTATAGCTTCTGATTTATCTTGTGAGCTTTTCGTTGTCGTTGGTAGACTTGAATGTTGGTATTGTTGTCCTTGTCCTGTTCTTCAGTATTTCTAATCCAATCTTCCCATTTATTTTGAATTATAGTGGAGTCCAAATGAACAACTTGCTGCCTAACATTTTACTTCTAATTTTTTTAAGCTCATGAGAAAGAGCAACCTTTTTGTGGCCTTTATAGAGAGGAATTCCAAGAGAGGTCATGTGAAGCTTATCCAACATGACTCTGGCAACATCCCAAATAGAATTTCTTCTGATTTTAGGGCAGTTGAGTGGGCTATAATGCTATATAAGTCGATTTCTTGGTGCTAAAGAGTTTCCCCAAAATATGCTTACAATAGTTCAAGACATGAATAATATTGTTAAGAGATCTCTGATTGTTATTAGTAAAAATTAAAATTTCTTCTACAAAAGATTAATGGAAAATTAATGTTTTTTTCCAAAATTATATCTATGAAAAGATTATTAAGATCTTTAGATAGATAATCAATTATAATGATGAAAAAGAGGAGAGATTTATGACCAAATTGCTTGAGATTACATCGGGATTTATGAAAATCACACGATCCACCATTTATAATAATAGAAAACTAGTATTTATAAATCAACACTTAGATTTTATCAATATAATTATTGTGAAATCCAAATTTACCCAAAATGGCCAACATGAATGGACATTGAGTCCGATCATATAGCTAACAACTCAATATGATGTAATTTGAAGAGATACTACTCGTTCTAATAGGTGACATTATTTTTGAAAGATTGCTTACTAATTGTTTTGATGGCTTATGCCATGAAGCACAATCTTCCATCGAAGTAAATCAAAATTACATTTGACATAAAAGGGTTCAGGGAATAGGCTCAAACTGCAAAGTAAAGAAGGATAAATCTCTACAGTTTAAGGACACTCGATCGCTGCAAAAGTGGTGGTTTCATGTTCTCTATAATTTTTTAAAATCATTCAACTATTTTCGTATATGGCAGCAACATGGGATTTCATGGTCTGATCAATCACTTTTTCTTCTAAATTGCAAGATTGGAATACTCAATAAAGATGAAGAGCCACTTAGATGGAAAATTAGGTTATTGTATGTGATAAAGAGGAGATTCAAAATAGAGGAAGATGATGAGTTAGTTGAGATTGATGAACAAGGAGATCAATCTGAGAAGTTCTTAGTAAAGAGGAGCATCCATTTGTTTATGTATCTATACAAAGGTAGAAGAGCATTCACAACCACGAATAACCCAAACGCTATATCAATTCACGTGGATAAAACTTTGGAAAAAAGCTGCAAAAGAAATTAAATGTCTCAAAATGATTGAACCAGATACTCAAACTGAAGAAGGATGAAAAAGTAAAGCTTGAAAACTACTGATCAAGTTGGTCGAAGTCTAAGCCTGAAAAGTTGGAGGGAAGTTGATAGGAATCTGATCTCCACACTAGAAAAATAATAAGAACGAAGAGAAAAATACATCAGAGATTAGCGAGAAAGATGTTTATATCGGCACAACAAACCAAGATACATGATGATCTACTATTCAAAATGTAGATTGACTCTCCATAAACCCTAGGCGCCACTAGGAACAATTTCAAAAAAATGTACATCAAAACAAAATTCATATAATGAAAATAAAACAACCCAATTAACCTTAATATAAACCTTCCTACTTCCCTTCCAAATCCAAATTCAAATTAGCCATTTTTCCCTAAATAAAATTTTCTAATTCCTTCTCAAATCTGAATTCAAATCAGCCATATTTCCCTAAATAAACCTTTCAGAATTCCCTCCTAAATCTGAATTCAAATCAGTTATCTTTCTCTAAATAAATCTTTCCTAAATTCCTCTCAAATCTGAATTCAAATTAGTCATCTTTCCCTAAATAAATTTACATAATTCCCTCCCAATTTTAATTTTCTATGATAAGTAATTAAAGTGGAATTAATCTCTTTTGCTTTTCTTGCCTGCCGTCCACCGTAGTGGGGCCCACAGGCTCAGTCGGTCCATTAAAAGTATTGTTTGATGTAAATTTAATGGAGGGCATTCTTGTTACTACATCATCATATTGCTGACAAAATTAAAGTTGTTGATGAATTCTTCAAACCTTTTAAAACGGTTAGTTAAGAACATAGTGAAAAATGAAAATTTTGGGGATATTTTTAGGTTTGCGGTTGACTTTGGGTTGCAAATTTAGAGCTAAATTAACATTAGGATAATTTGAGATGCCAATTTGTCTCTTTAATGGCAGAATGTTGTCTTGATGTTAAAATATGAGTTGTGTGTCATAATTGATGTATTTTGAAAGTCGGCACTAGCATTTTGGATTGAGGATTACATTTACATGGAAGGGAGACTGCCTTAAGAATGGCTTAGAAAATATTTAGAGTAGTTTTGATGAATGTAGCTATATTTGCTTTGATATTAAGTTTAAATAATTTGATTTTTTTTTTTGCAGAATCAATCATATCTTCCAGTTATTTTATAGGTATCTTAGCATGCAATGCTTGTGCATTAAAAGTCTGACTTGTTCTGATAAGTTTTAGTCGATTTTAATAATATCTGTAAATTTGGAGTCCCATGTTCTTATAGATTTTAGGAGAGTTAAGAATTGTCTTATAGCTGAAAAGGTGATTTAAGGTCTTTTCAAATTAACCAATGAAAATTTTCCAAAATTCTTTAATTTTTGGTTTTTTTGATCCATTAATCTCACCCTGATTCTTTTTTTGCCTATACTTATCTGAAACTTCAGATATTGGGTTTCTCTCCTGCATCATATAATATCCTTGTTTCTTGGTGGAAGGAATATTATTAGCCCCTCTGCCTTGTGTACGCTTGGATGCAAATATCTTGATATGGATATAATTTTTGTATCAGTCAGTGTCAGCATTTTCTGATACAGTGGAACACTATTCAGTTATTGTATTTTCAGGTTTTGTTATCCTTTCTGATTTCGGACTTTTACCAAAGTTTTTTTTTTTTAATGGAATAACACCTGTATTTTAAATTTCTTTTAACTCAATTATTCCCAAATTATTGAATTTTCTGTGTTGCCTGCCATTCTTTCTTTAGTTGATGTATTTCAATTTTATGATTGTTGCATCTTCATTTTTTATCATTATCATTTCTCTAATCCCAATTTAGTGGGACCGGCTTAGATTGTCGAACGAAACTTCATAGTTTGTCCTTATTGTTTGATTTGAAGGTTTAATGCAAATGACTTTTTGGAGAGATTGCGAGGTAAAAGGTTGATGCTTGTTGGAGATTCAATGAATCGTAACCAGTTTGAATCAATACTATGCATACTACGTGAAGCACTGCCGGATAAAAGTAGAATGTATGAAACACGTGGATACAAGATAACAAAAGGGCGTGGCTACTTTGTTTTCCTATTTTTGGTAAGAATAAGTAGTACTTTGAAGCTTTTTGAGATCCTCTCAAATGAAAGAGTTAATTTATCTGTGAAATAAGTGAGTGAGTTCTTTGCTAAGATGTTAATAGAGCATTTCTAATAGTCTTTTCAAACATAATTTTTCCATTTTCAAGAAGACTTAGGCCTCGTTTGAAAAGAATCATACCGGAGTAATCCTTTCGTCGTCCTCTTCGATTCGACCTAAATTTCTCGCCGGAAGATCGCCGCCGGAGCGCCCTCGCCGAACCCGCCGTCCGCGCCTAACTGCTCGGTTCCGCCCCTCTTCGTTCGGTCACGCGTGAAATGGGAGGGGGAGAGGACCGGTTGCTTATTTAGGGAGAAAGGGATTTGCTAAAAGACCAAAATGCCCTTAAGTAATTTCGTCTTAAGAAACAAGTGAGGGTAAAATGGGTATTTATGGACTTATAAAAATAATAACTCTAAAATTAGGCAAAATTTGATATAACTTCTATATACCAAAACGATCAGAATTTCGCATAGGATTTTCTAAAATTAATTTCGTTGCATTCCGATAACCTTGAAAATTTTACTTAAATTCTCGTCGCGGCGCTTTAAAATGCGTGCTATGCCTAAAATAAGATTTTCGGGTTTTACAAAAGCTGTTTAAGAAGCCGTCTCAAACGAAGCCGTCTCAAACGAAGCCGTAGTTGTTAATTTAATTGTAATTTGTAGTGGCATGTATGATTCTATTGGGTTACGTATATTATGATTGGTTTATTATTTTTTGCAGGATTATAACTGTACGGTAAGTTTTGTTCGATCCCACTTTCTTGTTAGAGAAGGAAAGCGTGTGAACCAAAAGGGTAGTTCCAATCCAATTCTTATGATAGATCGCATTTGCAAGTCATCCTCTCGATGGAAGAGGGCTGATATCTTGGTTTTCAACACTGGTCACTGGTGGACCCATGGAAAAACATCGAGAGGGTAAATTCTTCCTTTTCATTTTGCTTTTATTTCGATTTCTTTTGATGATCTTTCATGGGATTTATTATTCTGTGGAGTCCGGACAGCGTCCGGAGACAAATAAAAATGCGTCACGTCACTCCAAAAATGTACCTGCGCTTGGTACCGAGTGAGTAACCGGATGGGAGAACCGTTCGGTGTCCACACAGAATAATAGCTTCCTTCTTGGACACGTTCCAGATAACATCCGAACTAAATTTGCATGCCCTTGATTGCTTAGGAAGGACTATTATAAGGAAGGTGATGTTATCTATCCACAATTTGATGCAACAGAAGCTTTTAAGAAGTCCATGCAAACTTGGGGAAGGTGGATAGATACTAATATGGATCCTTCAAAAAAATTGATTTTGTACCGTGGATATTCTACAGCTCATTTCAGGTTTGTTTCACCTTTCTTTATTATTTCAACAGCCACCGAGTTTTCCCATGAATTTTCAATTAATGAGAGTTTCTTTAACTAGGGGTGGGGACTGGGATTCTGGTGGTACGTGTCATGGAGAGACATCTCCTGCCTTAACTGGACCTATCATTGATAACTATCCTTTGAAAATGAAGATTATAGAGGAAGTGATGGAAAATATGAACTTTCCCGTAGTTCTCTTGAATGTGACTCAGCTGACCAATTTCCGTAAAGATGGTCATCCCTCTATTTATGGCAAGAGGCTGAGAGAAGGAGAAAAAGTCTCTAAGAGACGCCAGGACTGCAGCCATTGGTGCCTCCCTGGAATCCCTGATACATGGAATGAGTTAATCTATGCAACTCTGGTTTTGGATAAGAGATGAGCAGAAAGTCTATCTATGGCAAATTCATTTCATAGTTCCTCCATTGTGTAGTTTCATACCATCATGACTAATGAGCAAGTGGTTTTGTGACATGAAGAGTGCATGAAGATTGCCTGAGGTTTCAGGTAATCAACACGAACACTTCTTTGGCTGTTTGGTGTTCTCCATTGTGAATGATCATAGTTACTAGGATTGTGTTGATTATAAGAATGACATTGTTTTGTTGATTGGATGTTGCTAATTAAGCCTAAAGTTTCGTTTGGGATGACTTTCTTATTACTTCATAAAGCAGCTTTTTAGTACACAAAATTTAATTTTGTGTACTAAAAAGCTGCTTTAAGAAACCATAAGAAAGTTATCCCAAACGAAGCTTTAATGATTAGCGTTATGTAATGATTATTCTTACGGGTGAAAGTGGTGGATCCATCTTTAGATTTCTCTTAAACTTCAATGCATTCGAAATGGTACTATTTCAGATCACACTGCACAATCTCAAAGAAGTCTTATTGGCTGATTGCAGCAAAATTTTCATTTCACTGTTCTTGTTTTATGTTTGTCAATAATGCAACACCGGAAAGAGTTTTTAGGTGGAAATTTGAAAATATGAAAATCATGAGGCATATACCAATGGAAACTCATTTGAAATATATTCTGTTAGTTTGAATGCTAGATTATATTGAGTTGCCCTTCATTAAATTTGAATGCAAAATGGTTTTTTGAAAGAGTCGAAAAAGTTGATGTTGATGATATTGCATGATGATCGAGATGGTCAATTGGGGTGGGGGTTTGAGTGATCCCCTGGACGATTAGGAGTTTGCAGGCGACTGTCTGACTAGAGATGGCCATGGCAACCCCTCTACTTGAAGGAGGAAGGACTTAATGATTTAATGCCATCAATTATTCATGAATCAAAGGCCTATAAATCGAGGTTATATGAAATCTAAGAAATTTATATCTATATGAATAGTCTATGCAAAAATGGGTGAACATCAATGCAATTGAGGATAGAGTGAGCCAAATGATGTTTTTGGAAGTCTTTAGCCAAATGAGTTTGGTGAGTGGGTGTTGTGGGGCAAGTAGGCTCTATTTTGTCTTTGAAATAATTTGTGAGAATTATTTATTTTATTATTAACTACTTTGAGATTCAAAAAATGCAATGGGACTATGCCAATGCGACAAAAATTTTGTGATCCTATTAGTTGCCTATTATTTTTGAATGTTTTGATTTGAAAGTCCAAAAATATTTGGGGTCTTAAAAAAGTTTTTTGTAATATAAGAACATTTTCAAGATGTAATGACACAAATTAATTTTGAAACAATTCAAATAAATAGTTTGTTTAATTTCAAAAAAAAAAAAAAAAAAGTTTGCTTAATTTCATGGTGACAGGAGATGATTCAAAAATTACATTGAGATTACTGCTATTCGAATAAAAATTTTGAGATCCTATTAGTTCCTCTTTTATTTTTGAATGTTTTGATTTGAAAAATTATAAATATTGTGGGTCTTGAAAAATTTTGAACATAAAATTAAAAGTTATAGCCTATAAAATATTTCAAATTGTGGCTACTCTTGAAACATCAATAGATACCTTTTCTTCTAGTCATGTATCAAGTTATTTCTTATAAATTATAATTTCATGCATATGAAAACTTAAGGCGTTTTTGAAGCTCTTTTTTTTTTTTTTTTTTTTTTAAGATTTTGAATAAATTTAACCATAAACACACACATATATAACAATGCATCAAATGGGTGGGAGCATAGACTCTCAACTAATAGGCTAAGATTGTCCTCATATTGAAGCACATTTTGAGTGATAAATTTGTTTAAAATAAGGGTAATAATCTTTCTTTTTTCCCAATTATATCCATACCATGCACTCCAATTTTCCTAGATTCAATTTGATTACTTTATGGCCTCTTTTGTTAAATGTGCAACCGTTGACGAGTTGAATCTAATCAAATTATTATGATGTTTTTGTGTAGGAATGTTATTAGAAAAGGCCCAATGATATAGTGATGGCCAATTATATATCATTACTTATTTCGAGTGGCACATTTGAAATATTTTATTATGTAGAACTTCACTAATTACCCAATGCAAGGGCATTTCCTTCCACAAGTATACATAATCATATGCTAGATGATTGTTTAGTGACCTTCACCTTTTTATGACATCCAAGTTATGGCGATCTTTATTATGTTTAAGGTGGCCATATCTCAATTCTTGTATTGATCTATGTGGGCCATTATTAGGCTGCCATGTTCAAGGAGCATAGAGTTAGGTTGAGTCTAGAATACTTATACTTTTATGCATTTTTACTTATATTGTCCAAGGATTAGTCTTTTATAAGAACATTAATAAATTTTTGGAACTTTTACCCAAATATTCTTCTAAGAATTGTTCAAGTGTTTTTTTTTTCTTATGAAGAATGGATGTGGTCTCTTATAAAGGTTAGGAAAAGTTTTTGCACAAATGATCCCATTCTACAAAGATTAAGATGAGATTTTGAGACTTTTTTTTTATGTTAAATATTGAAACTTTTTAAGAGGAGTTGTACCATGTAAACAATTTATGAACTATTCGAAGAAGGCCTATCTTTTCTAGTAAGGTGCTCCAATGCATTTCCTTTAAAAAGGCTACACCAATGATTGATATACAATCATTCTAGACATTAGAGCTTGATTTAAGTGACCATAGAGATTCTTTTAAGTAGGAAGAGTCTTTGATCATGGAGAAGATTAAGGATGATAGATTTTCATTATCATTGGTGTGGAACCCCATCATGCAAAGATGAACATTTTTTGGGAGAGCCTAAATCACATTTACTTAGGAGCCAATAAAAGATTGAGCTTATAAGACATCTTTTTTCATTAACTTGAACTCTTTTATAGAATAATATGCTTCCTAATTTCATATTTTATGTAAAAAAAGTCGGAGGAAGATTGAAATGCCACTTTAGATAGCTAGAATAAGGAGACTATTAAAAGAAATTACTTAGAGGATGAAGGAGAATGTAAAAGAGAAATTAGAACCGAGGCTTAATAGATCAATTGGTGAAGTGTCAAGCTAAGTTAGCAAAAATGGCATCCAACATTTCATTATATTAATGTATGGTTAATCACTCTCATAGTGAGATGGTGAAAGCCCAAAAAAAAAAAAGAAAAAGAAACTGTCAAAGAATTTAATGAGCTTAAACATTAGAGGAAGGATCTATATGATTGATTAATAGAGAAATGTGTTATATTGTTGAAAGCAATAGTTACTATGGATACTACACATTCAAATGTAGTAGAGGAGTTTAAGAGGTCATTGAATTTTTTATATTTCTTAACCATGATATGGAGGCTTGTGATAAGATATTCAAGGTTGACTTGGAGGAATGGGAAGAGTGGTGCCTTGGAAAATGATTAATCCAGAGGTTCCTAAAAATTTTATATGATTTAACTCAATTTTTTTGTTTATATTAATTGATCATGAGTTGAATGTTTGAGGATTCTTCGCCATACTTAGATAATGATGTATGAAATATGTGGGTAGCAATGTTCCTTGCATCATATACTAAATTTTCCATTAATGATTTCAATATAATTCTCTTAGTATTTGAATTAAGTGAAAATTTTAATGTGAGTTGATGTACATATCAACTATTTTTAAAAAGGCTTTCAATAAAAAAATCTTGCTTGATTTAAAAAAAAGTTGTGTGACTACATGATATAGATTAATTTGATATGCTATGGGATATTATTTTGGTGAGTGATTGAAAAGAAGTTATTGAGTGGTTAAGTATATGTTGAAAAGACAACTTAACAAATTTTATTATAGAATACAATTTACTAGATTATGATAAAACCTCAATTCTCAATATCAATATCTACTTATAAGTGAATTCATCAAGAAAGAAAAAAGATATCACTCTTTGAGAGAATATGATGTCTCTCATTAGAAAACTCTCAACCCGTTAGAAATTTATCATGATATAAAATTTCTCTTTTCTTAGAATTTTTGTGTATGATTGAATTGCAATGAAGTTATAAGAGAGAATGTGCACTCATTTAATCTCTTAGAATGTATACCTTGACCTACTAAAACGTGGATGTTTTAAGAAGCTAATTATATTATAGCATTGGGGTGATGATCCCCAAACTCTTCATTGTTGTTATGTAATAACTAAAAGTTTTACTATGAAACTTTACCTAGGGTTCAAAGATTTTTATTGCACATAAAAACGCCCTCAAACTACCAATGTGAGTCTTATTTAATGGTTATAATTATAGGGGGATGTATTCTAGCTAATCGTATCATACCAGTAATGGTGATTACCTCCAAGCTCTTTATATTTTCTTGGTAGTAACTGGAGACTTCTCATTGAAGGCACTATATGACCTTTCCTTAATATTCTACATTTTTTTTTGGTAACATAACTAAACTCACATAGCCTTAGTAAATTTCTATAACCTATGACAAAGGAGGTTGAGGAAAATCCATCAAAATTTTTAACATAAATCTTTGCTTGTTAGTGAGAGGATAGATTGATAATTTTTACCCACAATGAAATAGTTAGAATCATGTCCACAAGGATAGGTTAAACCTTGATCAATAAGTCCTTGAGATGTTTATTTCTTTGATGAAGGGCATCAATTGGTTTGATTATAAACTATTCTTTAGGTCATGGTTATGACTGGCTAGAGAGAAAGAAAGCATGTAATATTATAACTTATATTGAATGAATAAGGACGGGGAAATAATTAATTTTATTATTGAAATAAAAATTAGATTGTCTTCGAATTATGAAATAATTTTTTCTTAAAAGAAAAAATCTACATAATGAAAAAAAAGTTAAAGAAAAATTTTAAAATTATTGATAAGTATTATAAAATTTATACATTATATTTTTTATTTAGTTATATAGGCTATATGTTATGTCATGCATGAAATAGTTTGTAGGGTATAGTTAAGTGAATTGCATAGTTCCCTAAGGATTCAAGGAATTTGTACCTTATGTAGTTGGTTGGAATTTTTTTCGTCCTATTTTAAGTAGAGATGGGACCTTCTTGCTAAGAAAATATAAATGAACTATTGAGATTTATGCAAAAAACAATTTGTTCATCCTAACTTTTATGATTATTGAATCTAAGTGCAATGAGTCGTGGGTTTTATTTTTTCGTTGTTTTCATGACTTGCTTCCCACTATTCATTCAATGAGAGATATATGCATCATTTCAAATAAATATCAGACTTAGTGCATGGTTGCAGAGATATATCTGTGAGCTACACATTACTATTGGTTGTGACACATAAGAACAATCTTCAAGAAAGTGATAAAAAAAAAGAGAAATCAAACGTAAAATTTATACCATAAAATGTGCATTGTTAGCAAAAGTGATGACATCTAAATGTTCAATTGGTGTATGACTGAATTAAGAAATGTTAAAGTAAAGGAATATAATGGTTACTTGAACATGATGTGACATAATGATTGCCTACGCACGATAGATGTCATTATGACAAAAAAAAAAGTCTTAGAAACTTTAATTGAGTGTTTGCCCATGGCCTATCTATATGTACTTGTAAGTTCCATTTACCACAATATTATTATGCTTTTCATGAAATGGATAAATATCAAATTGCGGAAGGAGAATGAAGATGACTCAATAATTTTATAGCTTATGAAGAGTGTTCTACATAAACATGAAAGAGAAGTTAGAAAATTTTCGGAGCCCAAACAAATTAAAATACAAAAATTTTAGGTGTTCAATGTATTATATAGGTCATTTAGAGTTGAGCTCTTAGATGGCGGGATCTGTAAGTGAAATTGTAACTGAATGGAGATATATCATATTCCCTATGTGAATGTTATTATTGCATTAGCACAAAAATAGCTTAACCATCATGCATTTCTCAAAGTATTACACCATACATTGCAAGTCAACTTATATAGCTAAATTTCATCACATTTGAGTGTAACTAATGGCCATAAATGATCCCAATTATCGAAGACAATCTTAAAGATGCGATGCAAAAATTAATTATAATATATTAAACTATAGAACCCAATTCATAATCAAATTATTAGCATGTAATTTTGATTAAAAATATTAAATTTATGTTTAAATGAATAAACAAAGGACTATTAGTACAAAATAAATAAATGAATTTATTTCAATTCGAAATAGATTTGCAACATTAAATTTATTTGATTCAAAATGAAAAATTTATATAAATTTATGTAAACCATAATTTAAAAATTAAACTTAAAAATAATTAAATTTCAGATGAATTCATCAACAATTGTTGACCCCTGCCATAAGATCCTTACCTACAAATG